CGGCAGGTACTCACGTAAATCAACAACGAAAGTTGCTCTTTGATGTTCCCTAATGATTATTTCTTCCTCTTCTGTTTCTGACACGATATCCTGGATAAGAGATTGTGTAAATCGAATTTTGATATTTGCAAAGTGAAGTGGATATATTTCCTGAATTTTTCCCATTAAGCTTTCTGTGGTGCATAGTCGTTGACTAATGATGGGTCAAGGTGTCGTTTGAATATGTCTATAATGTTCTGTGGTGAATAGTCTCGTTTGGTAATTGTGTGTCTGTGAAAAATGGAAAATGGTATTTCGAACGTCTAGCTATCTTCGACACCGAGTAGGGTGAATAGCTGGTTTTTGAAGGCATTTATTGGTGCTTCTGTGGCTGGGATGAGCCGATGTGCGGAGCTTTCGTCGCTATGGTCAGTAGTCGTTAGAGTATTACCTTCAGTCTGTGGAGGTCTCGATAGCGCGTCGGCTACCACGTTTGTCTTTCTTGGTTTGTACTTCATTTCGTAGTTGTACTCTTCAAGGATGCATTTCCATCCTTTCATTTTTTCGTTATAGTTTTTATTACTCAATGCATAGGTTAAGGATTGGTGATCTGTAAAAATTATTACTTTGGGTGAACCATACAAATAACTTCTGAAACTATTAAGTGCCCATATCATTTCTTTATCATTTGCTGCGTAATTTTCTTCGGCTTTACTTAGTGAACAAGATATGAATGCTATGGGTTTGCCTGATTGTTCTAGAACTGCTCCGAGAGCATAATTAGATGCATCGGTGGTAAGGCGGAAGTCTTGATTAAAGTATGCGAATATGCCAGTATTACTTCTTTTGAAACGAGTGAGGATTTTATTTTGTTGAAAGCTTCTAGTGCTGCGTTTTTGAGTATTATCTGTTTTTTACTGGATGCATTTTTTGAAATGCGTCCATCCTTTCCTCTTAAGAGCGAAGTAAGGGGTTTGGCTAACTTAGCATAATCCCTTATGAAGCGGCGATAATAGCCGGAAAGGCCAAGGAAAGATCTTAAGTCTTTTAAAGTTTTCGGACATGGGAATTTTTGTATAGCTTCAACTTTTGAAGGGTTAATTTTTACACCATTTGGTGAAATGATGAAGCCTATAAATTGGACCTCATCTCGGAAGAATTCGCATTTGTCTAGTTGCACATTCATATTCGCTTCTTTGAGAATACATAGCAGATTTTACTTATATAGTTTCTTAGAATATCATCTAAGGCCCTTTGAAATATCGAAAGCGTGTTTTTCAGCCCGAATGGGAGTCGTATAAACTCATATTTGCCATTATTAACAGAAAAGGCTGTTTTCTCAATGTCGGATTCTTTCAAAGGAATTTGGTGGAATCCACTTTTTGGATCCAATACAGAAAATATTTATTATTCCCTAATTGCGCAATGACCCACACAGGTGAGTTGTATGGAGAACGTGATAGTCTTATTAACCCATCTTTGAGTAAGTTTGGATTTCCTTAGTGACAAACTCTCTCATGCCAATAGGATATGGATAATATAATATCTAGTGTGGGGTGTATTTGAAGAAGTTCTGATTTCGCCTACTACGGTGGTAGTGTAGCTCAGTCTTTCATTTGTTTATGAATATGAAATGTCTGAGAAGGTGTCATATGTTCTGTTCTAGCGTCAGTATTATTTACCGTAGGACAAAGTTTCTACTTGATTTTTATTTTTCTTTTTATTTCTTTGCCATTACCGAACCTAATTATGTCATCACAAATGTTTATAGTAGCATTGAGGTATTTGAGGCTATCGTTTCCGATAATACTATCAGAAGATTTCAGTCCTGGTAAAATGAAAAATTTCAAATTCGATGGGTTCAAGGTTCGTATCTTAATTTGTGTCTTAGTTATGGCACTCTATATGTTTAGCATTTTTAATGACGCAAAGTTTCGTATTTAGAACAAAATTTAAACAAGTAAGGAAGGGCTAAGATCGGATGTAACCGAACATGTTATACTCTCGCAAAGTCAAATGATATACTCGTTTTAGATTTCTTTGTAGATATTGCCGCCTTGTTCTATGTTGACCGATATTTTCGGTAAAAAGTCAACTATAGGCACTAGGGTCCACATATTCAGTACCTAGGGGCTTGAACAGTTTTGGTTCAATTTAGACAATTTTTAGTCACAAGGCATACTTTAAACGTATTATTCACGTTTTATGCCGATATAATCATTGTTGCTTGATTTGCATACTGGAAAGTGAAAAAATCAGAAGGAATTTAAAATGGTGTTATATGGGAAATAGGGGTGGTTCTAATCCGATTTCGCCTATTTTCGCGCTATAACATATAAATATGAGAAAAATACTATGTACCGAATTTGGTTGAAATCGGTTAAGCAGATCCCAAGATATGGGTTTTCACCTAAAAGTGGGCGGTGCCACCCCCACTATCTAATTTTGAACGTGGTTCCTATAAAATAATTTTATACCATATAATGTGTATAACTAATATAATATTACTTCATATCTTAGCGAGCTACCCTTTGAATGATTTTGAACTTTCCACCTGAATTTAAATCATTAAGGTTAGTCAAAATGTGTGATATTTTAATGAAATTAATTGAATAGGTTTTCTTAAATATAATATGGTTTAGGTTTGCATATGAATGAAATTAATCTAGAACTTGGTCCATATCCCGGATTCATATCAATAATAAAAATAATTTCGATCCTCTAGTAAACGTTTCCCTCATCAACTAAAGCCTCTTCGGTTGATTGGTATCACATATATCTCACTTGAAGATGGTTTTAATATCATTTTCGCTGACGGGAAGTGAAATATAGTTATAAAACTAATTGAGTTATGACCTATAATATAAGTCAATAAGATACCAAATTTGATTGAAATCCTTTAACAATTTCGGCGAATACAGTTTGTTGAATTATTTAGCAACATACTTTAAAATAAAGTTTTGTCAATACCTGGATGTATTTGCCCGGCTTTGATCCTTGTAAGTTGCGAGAGTACAAATGTGTGTAAAATATTAAAGAGGCGACCTTATTTCGACTTAAAATCGAAAGCTCTCACGTGGATTTTTAATATTTTTTGTTTTTAAGTCAGTGTTTGTTGAAATCTTTTCTTTCTTGTAGTACAATAAATAAATACATTACAATGGTAAATTTTCTCTGAAAACGCAAAAAACGGCACCACTAAACAGTTGCTACTTCGAAATAATGGGTATATGATATAAAAAACTAGATTGGTATTGGTTAAATATCTATCCTGGTCTATATTCTTTTTCCCCAATAAAATCCAAAACCAATAAGAGAATTCCAGTCCTCCGATATATAATACTTCTAAAGTAATGGAGGCCTCTCCCTTCAGTAGACTGCACGTTTTCAAGCGTATTACCTTAATGCCGATAGCCAATGTGTTTCAAGTTTTTGAACTATGTTAATGTCCTGGAACTCGGCTTGTCAGGGTCCAAGGAAGCAGAAATTGTTAAATACAGATGTTTTAAAAAATTTAGCAAAAATAAATGGTTTATTTTAACGAATAAATCAATTTATATCTTAGATGAGAAATCTTACAGACATATTCTTATATTTCCATATCTGGTCATCGACAACTTTTCGTTTCTCGGTTTTTTTTTTGTGTAAAAAATAAATACTTAGTAGTAGTAGTATTCTCAGTCCTAAAGTTGCTAAAAAATTATCACACCTACTGATGAAAAGTTTTGATAGAAGCTCTGTTCCCTAACATATGCATGTATCTCACTTAAAATTTCTGACCTATTTCCGTTAAAGCATTTGAAGTTGGTCTTTCGATTACTTATCTGCGATAAAAGTTTCCTACGTTCTATCATAGGTTAAGAATAAGCATAGACAGATTAGTGCTGAAACTAAAACTTGCACTTAACTGCGATTTCAACGGAATCATAGCGCTGCCCGTCGATCTTAAAACTCGTAAACATTTTTTTGATCTTAATATTCGAATAAGCTCTTGAAATAATTCCACGCAGATTTCATTAGTAAATCTATCATCCAACTCAAACGGCTTTTACCCCGTAACATAATTCATATTTTATTTATTCTTAGTTGAATTACTTCAGCTTAGTTGAAGTACTTAGCTGAAAGCTTCAACAGAATTTGAAAACATTCTAACGAATGCCTTATCGTAGAAATCAAACCATTTAGTACTCATATAGGTATGTAACGTACGAGTATGTGTATGTATGTACCAGTATGCGTAAAGAAGTGAAGAGTTGAAACGCAACCGAAGATTAAATACTTTAATTAAATACTCTACCAGAAAGTATGGATATATTTCATTAATTTTTGATACCAATTCACAATATACTAAAATTCAAAATATAGTATAGTAATGTCAACGTAATTTAATCAATAAATCACTTATGTTGATAAATCGATATATTCGATTTTAGGGTTTTAGGAATATGAAGCTATTTTATTGATTATTAGTACTTACAACACATTACCTCATATCTTGCCCGGTATATACGAAAATATAATGTGAAGATATATACCCTCATAATAATTGTACCAATCCAAGGTCCAATTTATTCATTTAGTTTCGCTTTGATACTTTTGGAACAAATTTACACGTCAAGATTTTGTTTCCATATTTTTTATTTTTTTTTTAACTATCTGATGATCGTTTTATGGGAAGCAACAGTATTATAAGAATGTTATATAAGTCTTACCTTTGGTTCCTATCGCTCAGGATTCAGTATTTTAGATGTAAGCCTATGTACATCATCATTGAGAATAAGTGCAAACTATGCGAGCCAATAAATATGTTAACAGCAGTCTTCAGGAAAACTTAATAATTGTCAGACTTCATTTCTACTTATCGTATGTGTATCGTAGATGAAGCTTCGTTTAAAATGTCCAATTTTAAACTATTACTATTCCACGTAGTTTCCCAAAATAATTGTTTTTTAACGCTGAAAATGCATTCGCTAATAGCCATTACAATCAGGTCGAAAGCTTTTTGAAAGAAATTGTGATATTTTTTCGTTTATTTTAAGCTGAACATCCGACACAATATTACCTTTCACTTTGTACTACTTTTGTAGCATTTCACAAGCGTAAACTCAGCCGATTTCATTTATATAACAAATTGGTTTATTATGTACTAAAACTTTATAGACATTAAAATTAATTAAAAAACATAAAACAAAATCAAACATAATTATTTAACGCGTATGTATGTACGGATGTATAAGTACGTTAAGTGCATTTAAAGTTTAACATGTGCTGTATGTTGACGCGTATGAGTATGAGTGTGTAAATGGCCAACTGATGACCAAAATCTTTTTTCCGCTATTCTCGCTTCGGTGACTATTATACTAAATATGCTTGTGTAAATTTACTAGATTTTGGAGCACCCCGGTGCTCCCGCTTACTGTTTACCAACTAACATTGTTTACTTCTTCTTCAGGAAGAAGCGGTTGCTGGGTGGTCCATAGCTGGACGATGGCAAGTGTGTTGGCTCTTCCACTACGATGGGTGCCATGGGTGCCGGAGCCAAGTATTGGTTGCTGGGCACCTGAACGGTGGGCTGGGGTTGTTCGCTGGCGACGAAGGGCAATGCAGTTGGCAAGTCGAAGGACTCGGCGGGCAAATCGTTTACGAACTGTGGCGGCTGGTCGTGCGATTGCGGCTGCTCCAACTCTAATGCAGGCTGAATCGTGGTAAGTGGCGCAGTGAGATCAGCAGAGAAGTCATCACCTGCAGGAGCGGCATACTCACCGACAGGCACATCAGCATGACGAGGATCCATATCGGCAGCGATAATGTTGTTGTTGCCATTGACGTTATCATTGGTAATATCATTTTGTTGTTGCTGTAGTTGCTGTTGTGGTGGTGGTCCATAAACAGGAGCTTCCCCCTTCTTGGTCTTGTACTTGATGAAATAGACTTCCGGTTTGGAAGGTTTGGTTGGTGCAGCAGTGGGTATAACAATATCCTTGGTGGCTTCGGGTTTCTTGTGCAACACATAAATCAGTGTTTTCTCTTCGTTTTGTGGTGGTGGTGGTACAACTGGGGAACGGATGGATGGTGGTGCTGGCGCCTTAATGAAAACGATTTTGTAATGCTTTTGCTTGGCGGCTGGTGCATGACGCAAGCGTGTCTCGATCACATCCTCATCCTCGAAATCCTTGGGTGGCACATGTACGTACACATGTTTGTGTACGGTGGTCGGCTGTGATGCGTAAGCGTAACCGCCCTCTTGTGCTATGCTCGACTGTTGGTAGGCGGCATTGTAGGAGTCTTGCTGATCGAGTGGCAGTGGTTGAACCGATTGGTATTGCTGCTGATTGGCATCTTCGGGTCCGGCTGCTTCGGCTGGCTGCTCAATGTTGTTCAATGCGATCTCGCTAGTGGGCAGAGTGCCATAAGTAGTCGGTGGTGGCGCGGCAAAATCGCCAAAGGCATGCTCAGAGGGCAGTTGCTGGTGCAGTGAGACAGTATCTGGAAATGCAACAAGAGAGTGCGTCGCTGATTAGAAGCTGTAGGTGTAATTGAGAGTGAAAATGTTTGAAATGAAAAAAATTAACAGTATATTTTAAGTTTTGTGGTTTGATTTGAACTTTTACTTAAAAAAGTGAGATATTATTTAACAAGTTTTTCTTTCGGATAACTTCTTTTGTTTGTCTAAATAATTATTTTAAAAATTTGTTTTCAACTTTCTTCCCAAAAATTTTAATTATATTGTAAAAACCGACTAATTCAAAAATCAGTATTTAACAGTATCAGAAATATATTTGTTTATTTTGTATTTAATACAAACTTTGAGTAAAAAACAAAAAAATTATAATTTCCAACCTTTTCAGATCCAAGCAGATTTTAAATTTTCTTTATAATTCAGTTTTGAGATTCTTGAATAATTATTTGGCGCAATTTATGGACTCTTTAGACTTTGTACAATATAAAAAACATGTTTACAGGATTTTAATTTAATTTTGAAACTTTAGTTTTAGATTTTAACTTTTATTTATTTGTTAGTTCTTAAATTTTTAGAATTAATTTAAATAATTACAAAAAAAATTACTTAATTTAAGAATTTAAAAAAAGTATTTGACTGGATCACCAAATTTAACTTAATGAACTTTTCTAAAAATCCAATCAACCAATAAAATATTTCAAAATTAGTTTTCGATATGCTAGTTATGTTTTCGAAAACACATTTTAGAGCTCATATATATTTTCAAGTTTTGAGCAGTAATATTGACTTAATTTTGTTATCCAAGGAATCAACTCTTTTGGAACATAATCTTAAATTATATTTATTAGATTCACTATTTAAGGGAAATATTTTTTTTCAAGTTATATTTCGTATATTCTATTTATTTAGCTATATGTTTTAATTTTTATTCCCAACACTAACTCTGCAGTAGTCCATTGTAGGTGTAACCTACAATCGGCGCCTCAGGACGCGCCAAAGCGCCCGCAATCAAGCAGCTAACTAGCACGAATACTCGCATTATGCACAATAAACAAAAACACTATCAAATTAAAGGCTGCAAATCCTTTGAAGAAAAATTTGAAAGTATTCCAAACTGTATAACACTTCTTCTTTATCTACCGGAACGGTGCACTATATAGCGGCAAAGGAAGCTTTGTGGGGAAGAGCAAGTCACAAACTGATGCCAAATCAATGGCTACAATTGTAATTTATATGATTCCAAAAAACTGATGCGCATTGCAACAATTGACGTTCAACCAATAACACTTGAAACATATACAAGGCAACTGCAACAACAAATACCAACAACTACAGAGAAAATCCAAAAACCAAAAGAGTCAAAATTTCGAGAAAAAACTCAAAAATAACCAAACTTTTTTTTAACTAAAATACCATTAAAATTTGTAATTGAACTTTGGCGAAACAGCAAAGCAGAAAAGCGATCGGACAGTAAGCACAGCCGGACGAAATGAAGAGCGACTTGAAAGAGCCAAGAAAGAGAGCGAACCTTTGACTTGTGCGAATGAAGGCTATTTTAGTGGACGCAGCAGCAATTAACAACAACAGTGAAGAAGTAGCCTAAAAAACTACAATTATTATTATAATTAACGAGGATATACACACATATGATATATACATATATAATATATGTATGTGCATATAAATATTGAAAATATTGTTCGTGCGTCATTAAAAAGGCAACAAAGCAGAAAAGGCATATTTAAGGAATACCTATTCACTATTTCATGCATACACATCTATCTTCTTTTTGATGTTTGAGATGCAAAGCCGAGAAGCGTGAAAAAAATTTATTATTCGTCTTGATTTGTTGAGTGTCAAAAAACCTTCGCTCGAGTGATGTGCCTCCAGCAAGAGATGCATGAAAAATTACAACTACAACAACATCAATGATAAACTGCGGAACAACAAGTAAACTGGAGCTATTTTCATATTAAGCCAATATTAAGTTTCATACAAGAGGCACAACCACATATGCAAATAGGATGTGATTGTTGTTGTTGCTATGAATGTTAGCTTTTTCGTGGTTTGGACTGCAACTTTATTGCGGGCAATTGCCACTTAAGTTGAAACTGAAAGTCATATTTGATCACACATACAATCGCACATAAATTTCTATATAAATGAGCATGAACTTGTATGTGTGTATGTTTGAGTGCATAACTATGACTAAGCGATGTCATATTATTGAATGCTATTCATTCATAAATAAATGAATGCTTACTTTATTTCACAATTGTTTATAAGATCTTGAAATTTGTAATCACAGCTATCACAGCTCTGAAAGATACTTTGAATATGTCATGAAAGCCAAGCTTTTAATACGGACAAGAATAGAAGCTTCACGCTCACGTTTTGGGCAGTTAAAGCGCGACAAACCAGCTTACTGTGATACACTTCTTCTGCCATGGCGGTGTCCGCAGTTGGCTTTAAGTCAAGAAACTGCGACAGCCACGACAATTTAATCTTATAAATCTTTTCCACCCCTAACTCATATTATAATATTGACACAGTAAAAATAATATAGACCATAGGAACTAGTTGGGGTTTCGAAAATATTCTGTCTCAGTTTATAATATATGTAATTCCGGTTCCATTCGGAAAAAGAAGATTTCGTAGAGAATAACATTCATGCTTTAGTTACAGTTCAACTGTATATTATTAATTAATGGAATATAGATTATGGCATCACTTCATTATTGACCATCATTGCGCTAGCATATTTCGTTAGCACTTAAACTTACGCTAAATGATTTTTTTAATATAAATATTATATGTCAAAACCGATAAGAGATATCGATGTTATACGGAAACCCGTTAGACTTGTGAACGAGCTCACATGTATTTAAATGTATAGTAAGGCAGATCTTCATTACATATTTGTAGTGGGTCCCAGTTTAAGTTATAATTGAATTGCAAGCTCCTTATAATTTTAGACAGGAAGCTTTCTTGCAAACAGCACTTACACGTGTAAAACAATGATGGGGCCCAGATGGGACTAAAGCTTCGGGTAGCTCACTGGCAGTACACAGCAATTGTAAGGCCGATTATGACTTACAGTATATTGATATGGAGGCCCACAACGGAAAAAAAAGGCAACTGGCTGCCTTTGGTTTTGCTGTCAGTGGCTCTCAGAACAACGCCAAGCCAGACACTAAACGTAATATTACACTTACTGTTAACAGACTTGTTTTGCAAGCAAATGGCAGCGAAGTCAGCTCTTAGACTGAGTCGCCAGTAATAAGGGCAATCTATGATACTTATGAAGTTCGCGTTTTTTTCCATTACCATGGTTTTTCGAAATCCTACAGAGCTGAATCCAAAGCCGGCCCCCATGTTTGCCTTCCCCTCCAGAGAGAAGTGGGAAAGGGGCGAAGGAGTCAGAGATAAGCATCTATACAGATGGTTCTAAACTAGATGACCGTGTGGGCGGCAGTGTCTTCTTAAAAATTAAATTAAATACAAAATTGCCTTTCGGCTTCCAGACCACTGCAGTGCAGCAGAGGTCACAGCAATTAAAGAAAGCTTTCCTGTACTGACAAAGAGAGTGATCACAACAAGAAATATCTTTATACGTACAGACGGCCAGAGGGATTTTAAATCTCTAATGTCTCATAGGATTTCGTCTAAAACAGTGAAAGAATGCACTAATCTCTTAGCGGATCGACATCCTTTTTCATGATAACCCTCCAATGGTTCCCAGGACATAATGATATCCCCGGGAACTATGTAGCAGATGATCTAGCCAGAACAGGCGCCACCCTAAAACTTAATCCTGGTAAGGAGGACATATATATACCTCTGGCTACTTGTAGTTATTTAATCGACATAGCAGAGTCTCAGTGGAGTCAACCACTGATTTACTCAACAAGCAGACAAACGTGGCAGGTGCCGCAGATGATGACTATTCACTGGATAAAAATTTTTAAATTCGTTATTTAATGAAAAGTATATAATAAGTGAGATATTACAAAATTATTTAATCCATCCGTAATTTTCCCATTTTTAGCCAAAAGCCAAATAAAATGAGATATGGTATTCTAATTTCGAAACTCCACTTGTGGAAAACATTATTATTAATTATAGATGCAATTAAAAAAAAAAAAACAGTAAAAACATTGATTTATTCCACGATCAAAATCAATGGAAAAATAAAATCGGGCTTTATATAAAAATTGTATATTTCAACAAGTAAGGATGTACTAAGTTCGGATGTAACCGAATATTTCATACTCTTGCAACTTGCAAGGATCAAGTCTGAGGAAATACCTTCAGGGTTTGGCAAAACTTTATACTAAAAATGAATGAATTATGATTAAATTTAGTATTTTATTAACTTATATTATAGGTCATAGACTCAATTAGTTTTATGACTATATTTTTTTCCGCATTGAACGAATGTAAATATATCCAATATTATACGTTCAGTTAATATATCTAAGATATCTTACATATTGACCAATATATATGGTATAAAGGGTGTTGACAGTATCCGATTGGATCTATATTTGGATTACTACATATTATTAACAGAAAAAGATGTCCTCTGAGTTTAATTAAGGTACCTCCCATGCCGTCATCAATATATAAGAAGTAAAGTCAACCGGATGTTTGAAAATACTAATATGAGTTTAATGGGGCTAGTGCAAGTTTTCATCCGATTTTATTCATTTTAGCATAGAGATGCACCATTAGGAGAAAAACATACTTACTTAATTTAATTAAGATAACTCACAAATTGGCCGACATATGGGGTATAAAGACAGTTAGTGAGGAAAGGATTCAATCCTACTTTCAATAATATATCTCACACATTGGCTGATATTTTCAGTAGAAAATCAGCCATAGGCTTTGGGGTCCACATTTCCGCTATCTGGGGACTTGAATAATTATGGTCCGATTTTGACAATATTTTGATCTGAGATGGATACCATAAAAGCTATATTTGTATCCAAATATAGTAATTGGTGCTTGATTTGTATACTGGAAAGTGAAAATATCAGATGGAATTTAGAATTGTGTTATGTGGGTGGTTGTAGTGAGATTTCGATTTTCACACAGTAGCATTGGAATGTCAAAATAGTCCTAGGTACCAAATTTGGTTGAAATTGGTGGAGTAGGTTCGGAGATATGTCATTTCACCTGGTGGACGTCTATTTTTTTTATGCAATAACTTCTCAGAAATAATTCATTATGCAAAAATGTTTCTCTTTGTTATAATATCTCATGGTAAAAATATATTCCACTATAATTTCTCATTGCAAAAAGTAGAAAAAAGGCGATGTAATGTTTATGAGAGGTATTGCTGAAGTGCCGTGATTATAGCTGTTAAATCGTTTGATACACTATTGTTATTGTAGTTTATTTGTGTATATTTATTTTCTATATTTTCTCTACATTCTGCTTTATTTCTTCCCTATATTCCTTTCACTTTTGTGAAGGTCGCTTCTACCATTTTCACCTGTTAGTTTGCATGATGTGTTGTGATTATAACTGTTGCCACTTTGTTTAGTAATAAAATTAATCTTCATTTTATAATTAATCAAAAGGCAAAGAAACCCCTTTGCGAAAAGGGTTTTATGTATAGTTATTATCGCGATGGTGATAATAAAATTATTTGGCGGTGTATTTATTATACCAAGGGAAGGTCTTGGTCGGTGTTATACAACGTCTAAGTCCCGGAACGATAAGTATTTGTTTCATTATAGATAATGTTACATTATATTATTTGTCTAATATGTTGATATATTTTTATGATATTTTAGGCTCGATTAGAGCCATCAAGCAGCACCTTTGCAGTTGCAGTTAGCACCGCCTCAACGTCTGCTCACGGTTTACTTGGTAAGCGTTCGAACATGTGACGTACATTGTCTCGTATAAGGGCTGATAATAAGATAATCCCTGCTAATCCTGTATCAATAAATGAATTATTAATTCCCGATGCGTATCGTAAGGCTTGGAGCGGAGTTGAATTATTGCTATGTTATTTACGTGGGCTGTCTAATAATCGCCGTGGAAGATATATTATTTTTACAACTGAGCGTAATTTGAGATATCGTCAAACATCAGATACTTGGTTTGCCGACGGAACATTTCATGTCGGACATTTGGTATCGGGCTGTGGAATCATTATCACACGACCATTGACGGTGGCCATTGTACAAATAATCCAATCGAGGGCTGGCATGGAAGTTTAAATGATCGGGCGCAAGCTGCTGATATGAATGTAAGGAAGTTTATGGGTTTTTTGCGTGATCAGTAAGCCCTTGTTGATGTGTGATTGGAACACTTTATATATTTATATATATAATTATCTGTGATATGATGTGAGATATATATTTATATTATTATTATAATTGCGCCAATAAATGTATGTTGAAGTACCACAAGCATTAGGTTGTGTATAAATATTTTATATTATCCTAACGTGTGTGAATTGGCTTGATAAATTTCTCTCATAAGAAATTTTTGTGACTAAGATATGTTTGTGGTAGAGAAATTTTTGTATTGATAAAT